TTTTACATGAATAATAGGAAAATGTTCGTGTTAACTACTGTTTGCACTATATTTTGCTTAATAAGAGCATTATTTTATCAGGTTGCAGTAAAATTGTTGATTCTTGTGGGAGACCTGCCCTTTCCTGGGCAGCAATGGAGGAGTGGCTTGCCGGGTTGAGCACAGAGTGCAGTTGGGGAGGGCCTGGGAGAAGAAGAGGGAGGGGAAACTGTAGCTGGGATATAAAATACATAAACAAATTTATTTTTTAAAAAAAGAACATTATTTTTGTATTAACACAAAAGACTTCCACCTATTTTATATTGCTTCTCAAAGTTATTACAATATGCAAATGTATATAGACCAATATCTTTACATATTATCTTTGTCATTGTTATTTGTACAACTTTTGCAGACAGCTGTGCTTCTTTTGGTTAAATTGGGTTTTTTTTTTGAGGTATATATTTTTCTTCACTCCTCTCCCTTCATCTCCCCTCCCCTTCTGTCCTCTACCATGATCTCCATGCTCCCAATTTACTCAGGAGATCTTGTCTTTTTCTACTTCCCATGTAGATTAGATCCATGTATGTCTCTCTTAGGGTCCTCATTTTTATCTAGGTTCTCTGGGATTGTGAATTGTAGGCTTTATGTTGTACTGCTTTATGTTTAAAAGCCACTTATGAGTGAGGATATATGATATTTGTCTGTCTGGGTCTGGGTTACCTCACTCAAAATGATGTTTTTCAGATCCATCCATTTGCCTGCAAATTTCAAGATGTCATTATTTTTCTCTACTATGTAATACTTCATTTTGTAAATGTACCACATTTTCCTTATCCATTCTTTGGTCAAGGGGCATTTAGGTTGTTTCCAGGTTCTGGCTATGACAAATAATGCTGCTATGAACATAATTGAACACATGTCCTTGTGGTATGATTGAGCATTCTTTGGGTATATTCCCAAAAGTGGTATTGCTGAGTCTTGAGGTAGGTTGTTTCCTAATTTTCTAAGAAATTGCCATACTGATATTGAAAGCAGCTGTACTATTTTGTACTCCTACCAGCAATGGTGGAGTGTTCCCTTTTCCCCACAGCCTCTCCAGCATAAGTTGTCATCAGTGTTTTTGATCTTGGCCATTCTTACAGGCATAAGATGGTATCTCAGAGTTGTTTTGATTTGCATTTCTCTAATGGCTAAGCATGTTGAGCATTTCTTAAGTGTCTTTCAGCCATTTTAGATTTCTCTGATGAGAGTTCTCTGTTTAGGTCTGTACCCCATTTTTTATTGGATTATTTGTTGTTTTGACGATCAATTTCTTGAGTTCTTTGTATATTTTGGAGATCCAGCCATCTGTTTGATGTGAAATTGGTGAAAAATGTTTCCCATTCAGTAGGCTGTCTTTTTGTCTCATTGACTGTGTCCTTTGCTTTACAGAAATTTCTCAGTTTCAGGATGTTCCATTTATTTATTGTTACTCTCAGTGCCTGTGCTACTAGTGTTAGGAAGTGGTCTCCTGTGCCAATGCATTCAACTGTACTTCCCACTTTCTCTTTTATGAGCTTTAGTGTGGTTGCTTTTATGTTGAGGGCTTTGATACATTTGGATTTATAATCGTCTCTAGGGCTGGGATTAAAGGCGTGCACCTCCCAGTTTCTATGGCAACTATTGAGGCTACCTGGAGCAAAGGTGTGTGTCATTATGGCTACTGAGATTAAAGGTGCATGCCATTGTGGCTACTGGGATTAAAGGTGTGTATCATTATGGTTATTGAGATTAAAGGTATGTGTTACCATAATCTGGTCTGTAAGGCTGTGTTTCTGTGGATGTAACTAACTTCCTTGTGTTGGAGTTTCCCTTTGTGTAGGGTTGGTTTTATGCCTAGGTATAATTGGTTAAATCTCGCTGTGACATGGAATATCTTGTTTTGTCCATCCAGGGTGGTTGAAAGTTTTGCTGGGTATAGTAGTCTGGGCTGGCATCCATGGTCTCTTAATGTCTGCAGAATGCTTGACCAGGACTTTCTGGTTTTCATTGTTTCCATAGAGAAGTCAGGTCTGATAGGTCTCCCTTTATATGATACTTGGTCTTTTTTTCCTTAGCAGTTCTTAATATTCTTTCTTTATTCTGTATGTTTAGTGTTTCATTATTATGTAGTGTTGGGGTACTTTTTTTGATCCAGTCTGTTTGGTGTTCTGTAAGCTTCTTGTATTTTCATTTGCAACAATTGAAAAACTGGCTGTCATATTAAATAACCAAAGTTCTTAAGTGTTACCGCAAAATGGCTCTTACTAAAAGTATATTATGGAAAACTCTAACATCTCTCTGCTGTTAGATTTCCTATCCAAATGACCAGCTAATTCCTTGTAGTTATTAGAAAATTTGCTGGTCCCACTAAACCCAGTTACAATAAAACATTGACAGATACTTAAAGGGCATTTCTGATCAATGTTACTTTTTTTGTAGTGCTTGGGATCAAACTCACTCATCCTAGGTAAGTGTTATACTACTGAGCCACATCCCAGTTCCAATATGTTTTTGAGGGATCCTAAAACAACATATAGTGGAAATAGTAAAGATCACCTGACGTGCAGAGAGGTTTTTTTTGTTTTGTTTTGTTTTTTAGATTTATTTATTATGTATACAATATTCTGCCTGCAGGCCAGAAAAGGGCACTAGATCTCATTACAGATGGTTGTGAGTCACACATGGTTGCTGGGAATTGAACTCAGGACATCTGGGAGAGCAGCCAGTGCTCTTAACCACTGAGCCACCTCTTCAGCCCAGTGCAGAGAGTCTTTATTCAGGGTTTACTGCAGCAAAGAGACAACCATTGTCACTTTTGTTTTAGCAGAGAATGGCAGGTAGAGGAGCGAGAAACTTTTATAGTGGGAAGGGCAAGCTTCTGGTATGTACAGGTTGGCAGCTATTAAATTGGGGAAGCTGCAGACCAGCTAACAAGATATGGGGCATCCTATGTGATTTCTCAGAGTTGTGTATTTGGTTGTCTCTTGTTGGACCTAAGTTAGAAGCATACATAGCCAAAAATTATGGAGTTGTTAATTATTAATCGAGTCCTGGCCATTTGTGGCTGATTGTTACAGAAGTTATACTTTAGCTTCCCATATCGTTACTAATGTTAGTAAAATGACATCATCCAAGGTCTGATTTGAAGGAGGTGGGTTTCCAGGAATGTTTATTGTAGATAAAAGTGTCAATTTTTTTGAGAAGGTTGCTAAAAGCTTTGGGTTATAATTTTACTTTCGTATATGGTCTAACCCTTGCCAATTTGTGTTTTCTGGCTCTCAGTATATATCTCACATACAGCAATGAGAACAATAGCACTCAGGTTGACCTGGAAAGAAATTTATTGGTGTTCTGGTACTACTGCACCCCCAAGGAGCAATCCTTATGGCTATGAAAACTATATAAACAAACTCTCTGGAAAAGTTTCCTTGTGAATAGATATGATAGAGCAGATGGTTCTTCACTGAAATATAGCCACATCATGATAAGAAGGGGCAGAAATGGAGCAAATATATGATACAGTTAGTATTTGTTTTTGAAGGAATTTGGCCACGTCTGAGGATCCCATATGTGACTATTCCATAGTACATGGTATAATTTTGTGTGCGGACATCAAACTAGCAACTTTATTTAAATTGCCAAGAATTCATGTGAAGTCTATTGCATGTCCATGGAAGCACCCTTTTCTGTATGTTTGACAAGCACCAGGAAACAAGTTCGAGCGCACATCAATATAAACTAGAAGGAACACTCAACTTTTCAATTCTGCATGTGTCTTCAGCTGCAGCAGTGTATAAGATAGCATATTTAACTGCATTCTGGGCTTGCTTCTGGCCAGCCTGATTCTAGTACAAATTACAGCAGAAGACATTTCTTCTGGAAAGCCCAACCCCCACCCCCACCACTGCCAATCCTCACTTATGAAGATGAGTCTGTCCTCCAAGCCAAGGACATTCACCACTTGCTATAGAAGCTAATCAGACACAACTGTTTGGGTAATAGTGTGCTACAGGCCCATAACCAATTTTGTGGATCTATGTACTGGATATAAGATGGTTAGCATAAAATCTTGCCAGAGTATGACATCATATGATTCTATTAAAACCAGTTGGTATTGCACTAAATGATACAAAATTATCTTCACAGGAACATATAGAATACTGTCTGCATAGGTTACCATGTAGATCTATAAGGAAATCAAACGATTTCGTCTATCCATTAATTCCCTCTCCTTGCAATCCTGGGCAATGTTTCCTGCAATTGACTGTGACTCAAAATTCCAGTCGCCTTTTGGTAACTAATAGAAAGCTCCCCCAAAGACTGCATAAATCATGCTAATTGCAGTTTTCCAAAGCTGACAATGAGGTATCCTAATAGCCCCCATGGTGCTAACTACCCTAGGACCACTAATTTTGGATGTGACTGCAGGAGCCCACAAAAGAAATTACATTTTTCTGTACTCTAAGGGTTGGGACTGTGCACAGTGAAATTATCTAGATAGCTACAGGTTTCTTAATTAGAGCTAAATCCCAGCCCTTTGGCTCTTTGGAGAAGGGACAGGCTCTTAAAGCTGGCAGCAATGTAAGAGCTCTTAGAGGCTTCAATAGAGAAAATGACGGAGGAGACAAGGGAAGGAATTAGAGCGTCACCCTCCCACGCAGCACGCATATTTTTCCCCATACACGGTTTTGAGGAAGATGCAAATCCTAAGGATGCTAACTACCAATTTTGAAAATCTATTAAGTACCTGACAATTGAGTGGAAACCATCTAATAGGTACCCTGACTCTGAGAAATGGCTAGTGTTACCTCCATCTTTATTCTCTGCCCATCTTCTCCAAGCTCCTTGTTTTACCCTACTAAAGCCTCCCTCCAGCCATTGCGCAGTTTTGGTGCAGAATCACCAGGTCCACTTTCGCAGACCCACGGGAGGGGCTGGGCGGGGCGGGGTCGCCTTGTCGCAGAGCCCAACTGCGCCTGCGCGGACTGCGGCAGAAGGCGGGGTGTGAGAGCCGAGTATTCTGAGTCTAGCGTTCACCGTTAGCTAGAACCTTCCTTCTTTCCCACCATCTCTAATTTCGGCTCCTGTGACTTGCTTGGAACTTTGGTTCTGGCAACAGCAGCAGCATTACTTGCTAGTGGCAGCTCTGTGCAGGGGCGCCTACACACCTCGCGTCCTCTTCTGCGAGACCGCGGGCCTGTCGGTGTCAGCTTCCACACGCAGGTCGCCAGGACCATGTCGCTGGTAAGCCAGAATTCGCGCCGCCGCCGCGGTGGCAGGGCAAATGCGCGCAACAGCAGCGGGAAAGGTCTCCCTGCTGCTGTGCCAGGCCCAGACGTCCCTCAGGATCCAAGCGATCCTCAGATCCTCCAGGGCCACTGCGCCTCTAAGGGCCCAGGCACCTCCGGGCTACCCATCCCCCGGGAGGGCCCAAGCACCTCTGTGCTACCCACCGCCTCAGAGGGCTCAAGCGCCTCCGGGCAGCTCATCATCTCTAAGGGCCCGAACACCTCGGAGCTGCCCCCCTCCGGGAAGGAGGGCCCTGGCACCTCCCGGCCTCTTGCAGTCTCCGCGGGGCTGAACACCGCTATGTCAATCACCGCTGCGGAGGGCCCGAGCACCTCTGTGTCGCCCACTGCTCCTAAGGGCTCAAAGGCCTCCGAGCATCTCGATGTCTCTGAAGGGCTGAACATCTCCGAGCAGCCCCACTCCGATGAGGGCCCTGGTGTGCAGCCCACCCTGGTTGAGGGCCTGGGAACCTCGGTGCCGCCCACCTTCTCCGAGGAATCGGGCATTTCCGCACCGCTTCCCTCTGACGAGGGCCCGAGCACCTCTGTGTCGCCCACCATCTCGGAGGGACCGGGCATCAACATGCCCTCCCCCGCTTGTGAGGTCCCAAGCACTTCGGTGCCGCCCACTGTCTCTGATGGACTGGCCATCAACCTGCCGCCCACCTCTGCTGAGGGCCCGAGCATCTCCGAGCTGCTCTCGGCTTCGGAGGATTCCGACATCTCCGTGTCGCCCCCCTCCGCGGAGGGCCTGAGCATCTCTATGCCGCCCCCCTCCGGTGAGGTCCAGAGCACCTGGGTGCCGCCCACCATCTTGGAGGGAGCTAGAGTCAAAGTGCCGCCCACCTCCAAAAAGGGACTGCGCACCTTGGTGCGGCCCGCTGCCCGCGAGAGCCCGAGCGCCTGCGCTGAGGGCCGGGGCACATCCCTGCGATCCATTTCTGCTGAGCGCTTCAGCATCTCGGTGGCGTCCTGCGCTGCGGAGGGATCCGCCACCTGCGGGCTGCTTCCCTGCGACGAGGGCCCTAGCACCTCCGGGCTGCTTCCCTGCGGCGAGGGCCCCAGCACCTCTGGGCTGCACACCCTGGGGAAAGGGCCGTGCACCTCGCAGAGGCCCCTCGCTGCCGAGGGCGCTAGCGCTTCCGGAGTGTCCACTGCGGCTGACAGCCCTGAGGCTGAGCTGAGCTGCGGTGCTTCTGCCGGGGTGAACTTATGCAAATACACCTCCCTTGCTCTGGAAAAGGCCTCTGCTCCCTCTGTACGCCCGAAGCGTTCGGAAGGCCCCTTGGAATTCCAGGTCCTGAGAGACAGTGAGAATTCCAACTCCATTACCATTATGGGCCTTGGCACCGCCCACGTTGCCCTTACTCTGAAGCCTCAGGATCCTATGGAGCAAAACGTAGCAGAATTGCTGCAGTTTCTGCTGGTGAAGGATCAGACCAAGTACCCCATTAAGGAATCGGAAATGAGGCAGTTCATTGTTAAAGAATACCGCAACCAGTTCCCTGAGATCCTCAGGCGGGCAGCAGCCCACCTGGAGTGCATTTTTAGGTTTGAACTGAAGGAGCTAGATCCCGAGGAGCACACCTACATCCTGCTCAACAAACTGGGACCTGTGCCCTTTGAAGGGTTGGAAGACATCCCCAATGGGCCAAAGATGGGCCTCCTGATGATGATCCTGGGACAGATATTCCTAAATGGCAACCAAGCCAGGGAAGCTGATATTTGGGAGATGCTCTGGAGGTTTGGGGTGCAGCGTGAAAGAAGGCTTTCGGTTTTTGGCAACCCGAAGAGGCTTCTGTCTGTTGAGTTCGTGTGGCAGCGTTACTTGGACTACAGGCCGATAACTGACTGTGTACCAGTAGAGTATGAATTTTACTGGGGCCCACGATCCCACCTCGAGACCACCAAGATGAAAATCCTGAAGTTCATGGCAAAGATCTATAACAAAGATCCTATGGACTGGCCAGCGCAGTACAATGAAGCTCTGGAAGAAGATGCTGTCCGAGATGTTGCTGATGGGTGGCGCCCTGTTCCTCACTTTAGGAGGCCCTTTTTTGAGGAAGTTTCTCCAGAGCTCCTGGCTCCAGATTCAGATGCTCCTGGCTGTCCTGCAAAATATTCTCCTCATTCATGGCCCGAGTCAAGATTAGAGAGCAAGTCAAGGAAGTTGGTCCAGTTATTTCTGCTGATGGATTCAACTAAGCTGCCTATACCAAAGAAAGGAATTCTGTATTACATTGGTCGAGAGTGTAGCAAAGTGTTCCCTGACCTCCTGAATCGGGCTGCTCGCACCCTAAACCATGTGTACGGCACAGAGCTAGTGGTCCTTGATCCCAGGAACCACTCTTACACCCTGTACAACCGAAGAGAAATGGAAGATACTGAAGAGATTATGGACAGTCCAAACAGGCCCGGCAACAACTTCTTAATGCAGGTTCTGAGCTTCATCTTTATAATGGGCAACCATGCGAGGGAGTCTGCAGTCTGGGCCTTTCTGAGGGGCTTGGGAGTTCAAAATGGAAGAAAGCATGTGATCACCTGTAGGTATTTGAGCCAGCGATACATAGACAGTTTGCGGGTTCCTGACAGTGATCCAGTGCAATATGATTTTGTGTGGGGTCCTAGAGCCCGCTTGGAAACCTCCAAGATGAAAGCCCTGCGGTATGTGGCCCGAATCCACAGGAAGGAGCCACAGGACTGGCCAGAGCAGTACAGGGAGGCCCTGGAAGATGAGGCCAATAGAGCTGAAGCCGGACACCGGCCCTTGGTTGTTCGCAACTTGCGATAGATGACTGTGTGGAAGTCAGCGAGGCCTTGTGTGGCAGGGCCTAGAGCCCTGGTTCTCATGTATTGGGGTTGGGGGGGTTACGTATTGTATTTGATATTTGTGTTCCAGTTCCATATATGTGTTTTCATATTTAGTTCTTGTTTGGTATCTTGAAGTTTCAATTGTTTTAATAATATTGTCCAGTGATATAAATGTGATTGACTACTTGCTGTCTCTGTTGTACTTTGGTATAAGAGTTTTGATAGTGTTATACAACGTTTTGGGACTCTTTCCATCTTGTTGCATTGTCAAAATGATAATATATAGCATATAGCTATAGATACAGGCTTTTCCTTGAAAGCTTTAAAAAAAACATCATTAAAGTGACCTAGCTTCAGATGTTAAACAAACAAATATACAACAACTGACAAAGCACTAAGTTGTGGCTGGCTTCCCTTTCCATCTGCTATTGTGTGAAGAATACTAATGTCTACCTGTATTTGCTTTGCTGTGCTAAAATGTATTGAAAAATAAAGGTGTAATAAAGCAAACAATGTTGATGCACTAATTTATCCAATAAATATTTATTCAATTCCTGTCATACAACGGGGAGAGTAGCATACTCTGGTATGATAGACATTTACAAGATATAGTACCTTCTCCAGAACTCAAGAACCAGAAGTTTTATTATGATATAAGCTACATAGTACACTAACTAGAGAGTTCTATGGGAGTTAAGAGGAAATGCATCAATCGAATTCCTGAATCCAAATAGTCCGCAGTGAACATGCTGGGGGCGGGAGGAGAAGATTGAGTTCTTCATACAACATGAGGTAAGTGGACTCAAATCTGGATTTAGTCTTCAGTGAGTATTGGTGTGGACTGGTAAGAGATTTCATATATCATAAGCTGTCTCATTAAGGTAGTTGAGCCATGGGGCTGGAGTGATAGTTCACTGGTTAAGAGTACTTGTTGCTCTCCCAGAGGACCCAAGTTTGGTTCCCAACACCCACATTAGGCACCTCACAACTGCCTGTAACTCCATCTCCAGGGGATCCAATGCCTTTTGACCTTGGCAGGAACCCACACATGTGGCAGACACACAAAGATATGCACAAGAATAAAAAAATTAATAAAAAGATATATGAGTCTGCAAGCTGGCGACTTCACTCAGACTATCTTCACAAGACCCTGGATTCTATGCCATGCACCACATAAACCAGATGTGGTAGCTCACACCTGTGGTCCTGGCACTCAGGAAGTAGAGGAAGGAGGGACAGAAACGCAAGGTTATTGTGAGCTATACCAAGAGCTCAAGGCCAGCCTGGGATCCATAAGGACTTGTCTTAAATACTTAAAAAAAGGATGTTTGAGTTAGCTTCCTCTGAGTTATACTGTAGCTTTGAGATGTATTCCCAAACTGAGTGATTAGCCCTAAATGGTACATCTTTCTTACCCCTACCATCACCAAGGTTCAGGGACCGTCAAAGGAGGACGAGAGCATGGAGAGAATTTTAAGAGCTGGATGATGGGGAAGAGTGTTGTAGAATCTGTGGAATGCAAAGCTCTTCACTGGGCATGGCTGTTGTACCCATGAGCTCACACCAACTGTGGTTACCCTTGCAAGACCTGCATAAGATCAATTTAGTCAAAATTCTCCCATAGATGGGGAAAGTGCTCTCCAGGCTCCACCTTTGCTGACAAGCTAACTATTGGCAATTGATAGCTGCTGTGGGAGAGAGAATATTTCTTTTTAAAATGTGTGACCACTGGTAGATTTTCCATGCTCCATTAGATGGCCCCACATCCATGCACACAGGGGCAGTACACATTGCACTTAGTAGATTATTAAAAAAAAAAAAAGGACACAACATTGTGGGAGGGCATGTTGGGGAAGACTTGGAAGGGAAAATGGGGAGGGGTGGATATGATCATGGTTCATTGTATATGTGTATGATATTCTCAAGAATAAAGAAAAAGTATTATTTTTAAAAAGGACTGGAGAAATGGCTCAGAAGTTAAGAGCACTTGCTACTCTTCTAGAGGACCTCAGTCCAGTTTCCCAGCACCCATACCAAGCAACTCACTGACCACCCATACCAAGCAACTCACTGACACCCGAAACTCCAGCTTCAGAGATCCTACATCCTCTACTGGATTCCGCAGGTACCTGCACATACATGGCATCCACACAAACACATATGCATGTGTGCACATGCATTTACATATAATTAAAATTAAACATGTAAATACATAAGTAAATAAATATATGTATAAATAGATAAATATCTTAACTTTCAGTGATATATACCAACACACTTTTTGAGCCCATTTTACATGATCTCCATGGGTTTCCTGTCATTCTGTTTATATTGTCTTCATTCAGGTAAACAAGCTAAAGGAGTAGCCCACATACAGAAAATCTATTTTTTCTAGCAAAGGTAAAATAGCCCTACTAGAACAATATGGTGCTTTAAAAAATTTATGCTTAGTTGTATTATAGTCCATTGGCAAAATCCATGTCAAATAGTCAACCTTGCTGTCAATGGAAAGATAGTGTACTTCTTCCAAGGAAAGATATGTAGTAAGTCGCCTAAGAGAAGCTACACATATTTTGAATGAAAAAAATCAGCTGACCGTATGAGAATTTAGTATTTGTTGTGAGATGGAAAGCTATAGAAAGATTTTCATCTGAGGACTGGAAGGACTAGAGCTAGCTTTGACAGAATTATGTTGGCTCTTGTACTGAAAAACTAAAAGGCCAAGGAAAACAAAACTTCTAATTTTAAGATACAATATTTTCTTAATTCTTTTAAGAAAATATATTTTTTCAAGGAAAATTGAACTATATAGAGTCAGGCAACCTGTTTTTAAATGAAATACCCAAGAAAGCAGTCTCCATTGTATGAAGATATTAAAGGAATTAATACACAGTGATTAGAGCTATACTGCCTGCTACAAACCCATGGTCTCCCTCATTATCAGATATGAGACACTGAATAAGTTACTGAACACTTTTGCATTTCAGTAACCCTGTTTTTAAGATGAGCATAATGATTTTACCTGGTCCATAATTATGTAATAATTAAATATAGCATGTAAAATACAACATGACCAGATATAGTTAACAATGTATAGATGATGTTGCAAGCTGATTTTCTCTTCCAGGAATTAAACTGAGAAGTGGAAATTTCCCTGAAAATTTTGCTGGAAAGTGTGTTGGGATTCAATACCTGTGAGAAAGCAAAGGAAGCTGAAATCTGCAGAAGTGGAATAGTGATAGTTGCAGCACATAGATTAATTGATTTCACCAGCAAGTTTCAAGGCAGGGTGATCCTACAGAATTGCTCCAAGTTAGGAAAAGTGACTGAATTTTTATACTTCCATAGTACTGCTCAGCTATTGGATGTATCCTGTCCCTGGTGAAGAAATTTTTCTGTGCAGAAGTCAGTTCTTTCCAGAAAAGAGTGATGTGTGGAAGTATAAACCCAGTAACTCTTAACAGCCTTAAGTACTGAAGGAATAAGCACTAAAACCCGTGAGAATTGGGCATCTGGATGGTACATATAACAGTCACTAAAGTTATTGCTTCATTCCCTTTAAGCCCACTCTTCTGTAATTCTTCTTTCTCTTATTGTTATTATTATTATTATTGTTATCAAAAGGGATTAAATAACGTTTCATTGTTCTTCATGGGTGTTGTTTATCCACCTCAATGAACTATTTTACTTTTGGCATGACCTTCTTGAAAGAAAAATTCTGATAATATATCTTTTACTAGTTAAGTCCTGTATTGCTTTTCCATGTTTCTTAGTAGAGGTGTGTCTTTTAGAGTAGCATATATTCATCATACAAAATATGGGATTTCATTGTGACATTCTCATGCATATATATCACGTACTTTGATCTTTATTACCTCATCACAATCTTATTCCTTCTCCCCATCTCACTGATCCTGTTTCTCTTCCTAAATAATCTTCCTTCTGCCTTCAAGTCTTACTTTATTTTATTTATACTTCAATTATATATATGGGAGAAAACATATTTATTTTTTCTGGACTTGGCTTATTTTGCTTAACATGATATTCTGATTCAACTCCACCCATTTTCCTGTCATAATATAATTTTGCTCTTTTATGGTTACATTGTGTATATATGTCACATTTCTTTATCTAGACATCTATGATGGACACCTAGACCTATTTGCATAAGTTGGTGATTGTGAATAGAACCACAATAAACATGGATGAGCAGGCATCTCTGTGTCAAGCTAATATGGAATCCCGAAGGCAAGTACCTAGAAATAATATGGCTGGATAATAAGGTAACGTTAATTTTATTTTCTTGGGTAATATCCACAATGATTTCTGTAGTGAATGCACTGATTTATATTTCCCTGAGTGGTGTATAGGAGGAGCTTTCCCCCTGCATACTAACCAGCATTTGTTGTTTCTTTTGTTTATAGCCAGTCTGACCAGGTAAAATGGATCAGCTCTATGTGCAGACACACCCACTTCCACACATAAATAAAGTAAGTCTTTTTTAAAAAGCTGGTACATGAACGAGAAAATATAATTATAGGATTGGGAACTGTCAGTTTCATTGATTAAGTAGATGGTACCAGAGCAGTCATTTTAAAGATGAATATGATTTTTTGCTGAGTGAAATATTTTGTTCTATCTCTTTCTAGATTAGAATATTTCAATGAACAGTGACAAGAATTTGGTAAGTAAATAGCAGTCCTTAGATTTGTATGAAAATGTGTGATGAAATATCTAGCTCTCAGTTAATTATACAAAATGCAAAAACAAAAAGTAACTCCAAGGCAAAATCCTAGTCACTAAGTGAGAAAAGGTAGAAAATTGGGGGATAGCAAGTATTCTTCAGGAAAGTTACTTAAATTGAGAGTCAAATAGTGTTTTTACTTCTTCCCTTCTTGAAAGTAGCATTACTGGCATTCAGTGTTGAACTAAAATTATCTCTTAATGAGCTCAGATTAAATGATCACTTTTCCATGCAGAGATAGCATACCATTCCCAGCAAAAACTAAGCTTTCTAAAAGAGTATATATAACTGTTATTTCATTTTTATCTCTTACAATTTATTTCTAAACTCAATACAATTAGGGTTCTCTTCTATTGCTCAACTTCAACTGCACTTCACAATGTATGTAATAACATCTAAATTGATAAATCCACTGATCACTTATCCGGCGCTGATCTTTTTAGTGACTTTTGACAGTTATTTTTTTCCTTCTCAAAATATATTACACACTTTGAAATCAGTCTCCCAGTTTCTTCCTGTTCTACTACTAACTGTTTTCTTTTCCTCTCTTAGAATTCTAGGAATATACCAGGATTAATCCTTGACTCTGTTTTCTTTTTCTGCACATATACACCCTCTGCCCAGTTATTCTTACTCTTCTCTTATTTACTAGATTTACAAGTTATTTGTGATCTTGTGATTCAAATTTTCATTTCTAATATTGGAGTTTGGGTTCCCACCATGAAGTTCCTCTCCAAACCAACTAATTTATCAAAATTTTCACTTTTATGCATAATATGC